TGTATCATATCCTTTAGAATTGTAGTATTACATAATCAAGTTTAAAAGAATAATGAATGTAGAAGTGAAGAGGAGGGATTGAAAATTAAGATTTTAAGAATAATAAAATTGGGGTGTAAAAGTAAGATTTAAAGTATAATAAAATTGAGATTTATAATAAAAGAGAGAAGGGGTATACTTAATGAATAGGTTGTATATAACAATAGCCCATTGTTCATTATGTTGCTGAGTCTTCCTGGGCCGTGGGCCTCCTTAAATAAACAGTAGAAGTTGATTTGTGGGTTAAACTAACTGTATAGTCCATTACCGTAGACGTCAATATTTTCCTGGCTCATGATATATACACCTCCTTCTTTTTATAAGTACACCTCCTTTTTCTAAAAAAAATTATAAAATATTCTTACCGGGAATCCGAGGTAGGGATGATCCACTGAGTAAGATTGGTGAGCCTCCTTCGCTGGTACGTTGGTGTTCCAAGATGGGGGTGGTACCTGCAAAAGAGACTCCAATGCTAAAGTTAGGGTTTGTATGAGTGTGAGCCTCGTATAAATAATGCACGTACCTTGGTGTGAATTAGGGTTGTGTTGGGCCTTAGGCCCTAGATCAGTTACGATGTGATTAGATAGCAGATCTCGCCTAGACCGAGATCGCCCAACGCATGTCCGAGGTCGTCCTGTGCTGTGATACCGAGCTCAAGCTCGGCATGGCGGTACGGAAAGTACATAAAATATTATAATTTTTTTAAAAAAAATTAATTTTACACTTTCAACTTTCAATTTGTTACTTTCTTCTTCTTATTCACACACATTTTTTTTTCTTTCAATTTTTACATGCTACTAAAATAGGTGAGGTGAAAGAAAAATAAGGGAGTGCATGTAAAAATTGAAAAAAGGAGGAAAGATATGTGAAAAAAAAGTACTAAATTAAATGTTGTGGATGTAAAATTAAAAAATTAAAAACAAAAAATTAAGAATATTTTAAAATTTTAATTATTTTTTTTAAAAGGAGGTGTACTTATATAGAAAAAAGGAAGTATATATATCATGAACCTATTTTCCCGCACCTCTGGATTTTTTGTTTTTGGTTACAACCTTTTGGATTACTCACATATAATTTTTTTATACTAATAATTAAACATATTAATATTAATTGAATCATTTGTATACAAAATTATGCAGTTTTTTAGTTTAGTAGTTTTACATCTAATGAGGATTTGCTTTTACCATTTAGAAAACATTTGACATACAAATTCTTTTATTAAGAAAATATTTTTCAAAGTAAATATTATAGTTTTTTAATATTAAATGTAATTTTATCAGAGACAAATTTGTTTAGTTAAATGAGATCATGAAAAAAAAATTATTTATTTTCAAGTATTTAACGCAATTACATATATAGAATCCAAATCCTAACAATTCCTTAAGTAATATGATATATTAATGACTTAAAATCTTAAGCTTGAAATTTGTAAGATTGAATATTTACAAGTAATCTGATAAATTCAACAACAATAGTTAATATAAGTTTTAGTACCATCTTAAAAAATGAGTTTAAACCTAATTTAAAGTCGATTTAAATATAAAGTATAATTTTTTTAGAGTTTCTTTATTAAAAATAAAAATTATTTTTTCAATAGAAAAATCCTAAAAAATGCTTTGAAATTTGTATCCAAACAAATTTTTAACTTTATTCTATTTAAATTTTCTATTCAAACACATCGTATATTCATTATTTGACTTTTGTTATTATTTTCTGTGATATATATCATAATCTTAGTATACTAATAGATAATCTTAACATTAACTCTTTTTGTCTATTTAAATGGTATTTTAATTTTTATAGCATGTTTTAGCATGATTTACCTCTTTTCTTTTTTTTATATTTCATGAACCCCTTGTCATTTTTCTTGCTTCAGAATTGTAAAAGGCAAACAAATATATTTAATTATAAAAGGCGAAAGGGGCAAACACATGAACATAAACGTGTTCACTTTGAACGAACTTAACTTTTTACAAATCAACTAATTAAGTAGAAAATAATGTCATATATAAACATCTCAATATACAATTTATCAACTTCATTAATTCAGATATAATATATCAATTTTCTACCTAAGAAAGTTTAATCTATCAATTTCACCTGCGATCTCATCACCGTCGTCAATTTGACCGAAGTCCCTTAACTAGAAATGCTAAACCAATTATAAACTAGCAAAGCGAAATAAACTAAATAACTAAGAGTCCAAAGCGAAGGTAATGGTAAAATTTAAAATCATAGAATAAATTTGAATTTGTGGGTATATACATGTAAGGCACTTAAACTACAATGCCCAAACAATTAGTGAATCAGCTCTGCCAATATCAACAAATTAAGCAATTTTTTTTTATCATTCTTCCCTAATCTCAAGCTTTTGATATGATAATATTTTTTAGAACAGAAAGAGATAGAATCCTTTCAAAACACAACGTACTCTCTAATCTCTCTTCCCTCTCATCCATGCTTAATAACATAGACGAACGCATACACCTTTTGAAGCGCAAAATAGAACAAGTGAATACAAGTGACGATAGCAACATGGCAAGCAACAACGACCAAGAATGAAAATGAGAATAAGAAATAGGAAGAGAGAATGTGAGGGCTAGGCATGACGGTTAACACCTTCAACGACGACAGCGGGCCGGACTCAACGGAGGTAGAGCAACCACAGAGTTGAGAGCAAATTAAGGTGTGAGAAGGAAGAGAGAAAACTGGAACACGAGAGAGAAGAACTAGTGGGTCTCTTCCTCAATTTAGAATTGGATTTTTAAAATTGATTCTTAAATAAATTTTAAAAGAAGCACTAAAGAGACGTTTCAAAATTAGTTAAAGGATAATTAATTTTAAAAAGATCTCTTAAAATCAGTTTTTCTTTAACTAATTTTAAAATTATATTTTTACATTAGTGAGTGTTCATTATCTAACTAATCACTATATATAATATGTATTTAAATTTTTTTATTTATGATAATTACATCACATAGAATCCAGTAAGGAATTGTGCGCTAATAATTTCTCCCTTTTTTGCATGCACCGATATCGTCACTCTTTTTTACTGAACAGCTCTTGTGACGTACTTGTAATTGCATTTTTGCAACGGCCTATTTTTGTTTGACTAAGTTAATTTATGGAAAAGATCAAAACAAGGGAAAG